ACTTTCTTTTGCCACAACACTTGTATTTTCCCAATCAACTCCACTTAAACAATTCACATTGTGTCGCGCTAATCCCCCGTCTTCCTTTCCCATTCGTTCATTCGCCATTGTCAAGTTCCCGTTTTTGATATCTTCATTCGTTTTTCTTCAGTAATCTCCACGTTTCTCCAACATACGCTGCCTTCTCACATTTGCACGGAATCTTGTACACAACACCTTTCTGCTTCTCACGGGTGAAAGAGAAATGGAAGAACAACAATATCGAGGAAAGGTGATAGTACCGTATGTTCGCGGAATATCAGAACAGTTTAAGAGAGTAGCTTTGAAACATTCTTTTCAAACGGCATTCAAACCAGGAAAGAAAGTCAAAGATCTAAAGACCAGATCCCAACAACCACTTCGTGAGAAGCAGAAAGGTGTTGTGTACAAGATTCCGTGCAAATGTGAGAAGGCAGCGTATGTTGGAGAAACGTGGAGATTACTGAAGACAAGAAAAAAGGAACATGAAAGCAAAGTGAGACTAACGAATGAAGATATCAAAAACGGGAACTTGACAATGGCGAATGAACGAATGGGAAAGGAAGACGGGGGATTAGCGCGACACAATGTGAATAATTGTTTAAGTGGAGTTGATTGGGAAAATACAAGTGTTGTGGCAAAAGAAAGTGGTTTGAGACAAAGAAAAGTGAAAGAAGGAATAGAGTCTCTCAGGGAAATACATCGTGGTATGAAAGTATTAAACAGTTTTGAGTCTTTGACAGTATGGAGGCCTATTTTAGACAGATATTTCGATAATGAGAACAGACACGCGCGTGCGCGTGCATTTTAGTTTGAAATTAAGCTTGCGTAGAACGAACGTTAAATTAGTTTGCACACGTCAACTCAAGCAAGTATTTGTCCGCGTTTTTACAAGCGATTCGTCATCAATCACGCCATCCTGGCTAGTACAACCGGCACTTTGTACCTACCAAAACCTGATAAAAAGTTCCGGCTGTACTAGCCAGGATGGCGTGGATTGGCGTGACCGAGTTAAAATTTTCGTGGACGTAAAACAATAAGGGAAACGACTAGAGTTACGCTTCTGCTCTATCTTCTTTATTCTGTGGTTGTAATAACCTGAAGACGGACAGTAAAACTGTCCGAAACGTTGTTAAAAATAAAGTAAACCTCTTGAAAAATCCTGTTTGAAAGTGAATTGAATTATATAATTAGTTATGATATATTTGGGCAAATTTATTAAATAAATAAATAAATAAATGAAAACTCTACCAGATTCTGAAAGTCTATCCAAAATATCAGCTAGAATTGCCAGCGTGAGATAAGTATCTTCTTTGTTATTCACGTACGGTTTTAGGACAATTTGTGGCCTTTCAATTTCCCTATAGACAAAACGAACATGGATGTCAGCATTGATATTGTATACTGTACGCTGCATGCTGCATGTTGCATATTGTATATGTTGCATATTGCATATGGCATATTGCATATTGTACATTATTATTTATTGAAAATAATTCAAGACTTTTGATTAGCTAAGAGCTGTCGGTGAAATCGTCATATCCGCTCGGTAGCTGCCCAAATTTGGAGTTATGACATCACCGTGGAATATTGAAAACAAATATACCACGTTTGACGTAATTTCGTGGTATATTGAAAAATAATGTAACACGCTATGATGTCACGCTAGTTCATGCGGCTTACGCCAAAAGCGGGAAAATACAAATGACTTCCTCAAAGGAAAGGTTTGCCGACCCTTTTATGTTTTCCGACAAATAAATAATAAAACAATTATTGAATTCGGTTCTCGCAGGATATGAGGAATTATTAAGGCCTGGGTTTGTGTTATCACATAAACCTCGGCCATAACAATTCCTCATATCCTACCCGACCCACTCAACCTCATTCAATAATTGTATATTGTATATTGTATATTGTATATTGTATATTGTATCAATTGTATATCGTATCAATTGTATATTGTATCAATTGTATATTGTGTCCATTATATATTGTATCAATTGTAATTTGACTATATTGTATCAATTGTATATTGTCAATTAATTGTATATTTAACAATTGCATATTGTATATTCAACAATTGTAGATTTAACAATTGTATATTGTATATTTATAACAATTGTATATTTAACAATTGTCATCTATAGCTGGGGTGAACATGACCACCACTAACAAAGTTTTCCTGCTTTGTTATATCACATTATACAACGCTAACAGCTTGAAAGACTTTACCTTTTTAAGGTAAAGCCTTTTCCATTTTAGAAAAAGATAAATGCCATATTTTCCGCCCGAACTCCACTTTTATTTATTTTATTTTATTTATTTATTTAGCGCCGCCGGCATGTTTGTTTTGTTTCTAAGCCATCTGTGTCCGTTTCTTGACGACTGCTTTAAGCTGACTGGTTGATTTTATATTGTTTAGATTGACAACATTTCATGGAAAATGAAATTTCTAAATATTCCACTTTTTGCGAGCTATACTTAAGATCATTATCTTAAGTATAGCTCGCAAAAAGTGGAATATTTAGAAATTTCATTTTTCTCACAGTTAATTTGTTTCCCATACAAGTGTTGTGTTTGATTTCAACCATCTCATTAACCCCCCACAATCTTCAAATTTACTTTTACAATTGTAATGTTTATATTTGTATTTGTTTAAAATTAAAGCTTTTCAAGAGTAACGTTTATTATATTAACCCAT